CTGTGGGGATTGAGGCTGCAGCAGGAGAAACTCCCAGCCTCACAGGAGAGTTGGTTGGAGAGACCCACAGGGTCCTAGAATGTACACAAACCCACCCACCTGGGAATCAGCAACAGAAGGGCCTAATTTGCTTGGGGGAAGTGGGGGAAGTGACTGAAATCTGGCAGAGAGCAGAGCAAGTGCCATTGTTCCTTCTTGGACCCCTTCCCTGAATACAGCGTCACAAAGCGGTGAGACGGGTTGCCCCTCCCAGGTGAACACCTCAGGCTCTGCCCCTCACTACCCAACAGGCCCATTAAGGCAAAAAAAAAATAATAATAAAGAAAGAAAGAAAGAAAAAGAAATAAGAGAAGGCCCAAATAAAAGAATAGCTCCAAGTTCTTGAAAAAAATACAACTAAGCAACGAAGAGATAGTCAACCTATCAGATGCACAGTTCAAAACACTGGTAATCAGGATGCTCACAGAATTGGTTGAATTCAGTCACAAATTAGATGAAAAAATGAAGGCTACACTAAGTGAAATAAAGGAAAATGTACAGAGAAACAAAAGTGATGGGAAGGAAACTGGGACTCAAATCAATGGTGTGGACCAGAAGGAAGAAAGGAACATCCAACCAGAAAAGAATGAAGAAACAAGAATTCAAGAAAATGAGGAGAGGCTTAGGAACCTCCAGGACATCTTTACACATCCCAACATCCAAATCATAGGGGTGCCAGAAGGAGAAGAGGAAGAGCAACAAGTGGAAAAGTTATTTGAACAAATAATAAAGGAGAACTTCCCCATTCTGGCCAAGGAAATAGACTTCCAGGAAGTCCAGGAAGCTCAGAGAGTCCCAAAGAAGTTGGATCCGAGGAGGAACACACCAAGGCACATCACAATTACATTAGCCAAGATTAAAATGAAGGAGAGAAGCCTAGAAGCAGCAAGAGAAAAAGAAGCAGTTACCTACAACAGAGTTCCCATCAAACTTCCAGCTGATTTCTCAAAAGAGATCTTGCAGGCAAGAAGGGGCTGGAAAGAAGTATTTCAAGTCATGAAAGGCAAGGACCTACACCCAAGATTGCTCTATCCAGCAAAGCTTTCATTTAGAATAGAAGGGCAGAGAAAGTGCCTTTCAGGTAAGGACAAGTTAAAGGAGTTCATCATCACCAAGTCCTTATTATATGAAATGTTAAAGGGACTTTATCTTAGAAAAAGAAGATAAAAAAATATAAACCGCAAAATGACAGCAAACTCACATTAACAACCACACGAAAACAGAAAAGAAACTAAGCAAACAGCTAGAACAGGAACAGAACCACAAAAAATGGAGATCACATGGAAGGTTATCAGCAGGGGAGTGGGAGGAGAGGGGGGAAAAGGTACACAGAATAAGTAGCATAGATGGTAGGTAGAAAATAGACAGGGGGAGGGTAAGAATAGTATGGGAAATGTAGAAGCTAAAGAACTTATGACACATGGACATGAACTGGGGAAGGGAATGTGGGTGGGAGAGGGTGTGCAGGGTGGAGGGGAGTGAAGGGAGGGAAGTGGGACAACTGTAATAGCATAATCAATAAAATATATTTAAAAAAAGAGTGACTTGGAATAAGTAAGAAAGGAGGAGGAGGGGAATGGGATGGGAGGCGGAATGTTCTAAGCAGAGTGAAGAGTATGTACCAAGTCCCTGGGGATTCAAGAACTGAAGTTCCAGTGAGGCTGAAGGCAAATAGTGAAGTGCACAGTGATGAGTAAGGTAGCTTTTTTCCAAATTCAACTTCAACCTCCCAGTTCTGAAAGGGGCCTGGCACACAATAGGCCTCACTAAATACATTAGTGAAATGTCATTGGACCACAGGGAGCTCCTCACAAGACATTATAATCTCACAAGCTGCTACTCCCTTGTCAATCTGGCAAATCTCTACTCACCTTTGAAGGTCCTGCGCGTGTATCTCCTCAGTGAGGCCTGCACCCAATATCCACTCCCTTCAAGGGAGTTATTCACTTTCCCCATGAGTCTGCCAGAACACCTATGGTTTCCTTTGCGTGTATATAGAAAAGTTATTTATAAATACTTACATGTATTTTTAAAAGATTTTACTTGTTTATTTTTAGAGAAAGGAGAAGGGAGGGAAAAAGAGGAAGAGAAACATTGATGTTTCTTTGTGTGTGAGATACATGGATCGGCTGCCTCTCACACCCCTCCAACTGGGGACCTGGCCTGCAACCCAGGCATGTGCCCTGACTAGGAGTTGAACCTATGACCGTTTGGTTCGCAGGCTGGCACTTAGTCCACTGAGCCACACCAGCCAGGGCTCATGCATTTTTTATCACAGTCTTCTTTACTAGACTCTAAGATTATCAAAAAACAGGAACTATCCCCAATTCCAGCTAGATATTTGTACATGTTTGTAAAACAAATGGATGGAGTCATTGTCCTCCTTTTCAAAAGAATCCGTTTCCAAGTCCTTCCACAGCAGAACCCTCTTCCTGCTCCCAGCAGGGTCTCCTCACTGACTCTGATCAGGGCAAGCAAGCCTTGCCTTTTGTTAGAGGTGGGGTTCCAGCCAGAACTTGGTCCCCGCCTACCTCTCTTCCACCTGCCACACTACATTTTCCCTCACTAACTTACTTGGCTCCAGCCACACAAGCCTTCTTTCTTTTTTCTTAAACATGCCAAGCTTCTTCTTACCCTAAGGCCTCTGCAGCTCTGTTTAGAACTACACACTTCCTCCAGAGTTACAAATGGCTAACATTTTCTCATCATTGGAAGCATCTCAAATATCATTTCCTCAGAGATGCAGCCCCTGCCCACATTAAAGAAGTCCCCCGTCAAACCACTCCCTAGTAGTGCATCGTCTTGCTCTATTTCCTTCTTGCACTGACCAGTATCTGAAATTATCTTTATTGCTTGCAGTTTTGGATGTTTTTAATTCTCACCCGAGGGTATGTTTATTGATTTTAGAGAGAAAGGGAGAGAAACATCAATGGAAACATCGATCAGCAGCCTCCCATTCGCAGCCTGACTGGGGACCAAACCTGCAACCACAACCCTTTTGGTGTGTGGGACGGTGCCCCAACAGACTGAGCCACATGGGCAGGGCTGTAGTTGACATTTTTTATACCCTTACAATGACCATAATAGTCAAGGTTTTTGTCTGTTTTAGTCACTACTGCATCTCCAGTACCTAGAATGGGGCCAGGCACTTAGTAGGGCTCAATAAATACTTGAAAGAATGAACACAATCAAAGTGGCTTTGGGGGATCCTGAGTGTTGAGTATCCTGGCATTTGCCACCTCTTGCCAGCTCTGGGGAAGAACACAAGTTTGACCACATGTAATCCCGACATTCAAATTATGTCCCAGGCTCTGAGGACTGAGGCTCGGGGTTTGTGTCCCGAGCTCTGCTACCAAAATCCTCATGTAACCTCATTTGTGAGAGAGAGCTTAATGCAACAGAGAGAACACCAGCTTTGGAATCTGTTCCAGGTATATGACTTAGAACAAATTACGTGAGGTCTGTCTCCAAGCTTTAGTTCCCTCAATTGTCAAAGGGAGATACTGTTACTGATCCTCACACAGGAGTTGTAAAGGCGATGTGGGGATTTTAAGCATTTACTGAATGTTATTTCTCTTTTCTTTCTTTTTTTTTAAAGATTTTATTTTTTATTTATTTTTAGAGAGGGAAGGGAGAAAGAGAGAGAGGGAAACATCAATGTGCGGTTGCTAGGGGCCGTGGCCTGCAACCCAGGTATGTGGCCTGACTGGGAATCGAACCTGCAATGCTTTGGTTCACAGCCTGCGCTCAATCCACTGAGCTACGCCAGCCAGGGCTTACTTCTCTTTTCTTTCATCATACCTGACTCTTAGTTATCCCATTCATAAAATGGAAGAATTAGATGTCTTTTTCAAGAGATATGGGAAATACAGAGTTTTTACATGAACTATCCCACTTTTGAAATGTTGGGAATAAAAATGTGTAAAACACCTTTTATTTTTAAGCTGTTTTTTAAATGTAAAAACACCCTGCGAGTCAAATAAGATACTTCCATGGTCTGGATTTGGACTGTGAACTACCAATTTTCACTTAGGCTACTGGGTTGTCAGGGATGCTATATAATTTAGGCAAATCAGTTAATTTCCAGAACTTCAATTAGTCCATCTGTAAAATGAACCCACCTTTGTGCAGATCATAAAAGACGCCGAACTCAGATATAGACAACAGATTGAAAGGAGTGGGAGGAGTATGAGAATGAACGTGGTCCAATATATGGTCCGCGAAGAAGACAAGCCCTTGGGTAGTGATATTTTGCCCCAATACATTTAAAGTTAAACAGACGTGAGGGTGTGAAACGCTTTGCATACCACTGGCAAATAGCAGGCCCACCACAAGACACGACGGCGGTAGCTTTTTGTGGCTGTTGATTAGTAAGTATGTGTTCAAAGAACAAGATAGTCATGAGACTAGGAAACCGTAAAAGCGACGCGGAAAAATGAGAAAAGGTGGCAAAGGAGGAAAAAGAGGAAAGGGAAGAGGTGAGGAGGCAACAGGGCCCGCCCTCCTGGCGGGGCGCCACCCAGAGGCCCAGGCCAGGGCTGGCGCGCACGTGGCCTGGTCTGGGCGGAGCGGACGCGCCTGGCCGCAGCCAAGACCTCCGAGCCGGCCACGGGAGACACAACCCTTGAAGGTAGGTTCCAACCGGACTGCGAGGACCTTGAAAGTTGGGGTTGTGCAGCCAGGGGTCCTAGGAACTAGGACACAGCTGAGATCGCAAGGTCTGAGCTCGCCTCCCTCCAGTGGCAGTGCGGCAGGGACGCCTGGGTCCTCTGGATCCCTCCTTTAGGGGCGGGGTTAGGTCTTCTGACCAATGACCGACCGCCCCCGAGGCCCTGACCCGCCCCCGGAACCGCGGTCCTACGGAGTGGCCAACCACTGGGACCCTGGCCTTGGGCTGCGCGAGCGCGGAACCCGTGGCTGGTGAGTACGCGCACCTCAGGGTCTCCGCCCCATCCCTCCTGCAGCGGGTACCCTGCAGCTCTCGGCCGCGGACCCAGGCGTCAGGGAGTGACTCAGCGCCCGGGGAGGGTGGCGGTTCCTCGGGACTGGAGATTCAAACTGCTCAGGGTCCAAAATGCAGAGATGAGTGGGGGTGAACGAGTGTCTTCAGAGCTTGATCCCTGGGAAGTGCTTGTGCCTAGGGTCGAACCGGGGGGAGAGGGGAGAGGGCCAGACCTAGAGACCAGGATCGGGCTAGAGAAGCCAGGACTACACCACCTTGCCTGGGGCCAGGGCTATGGTGGGAGGCGGGTCCTGAGCTTCTGACTCAGCTGCCCTCCCCAGGACACCAAGATGCCTGGCGAACCACAGACGGTGGAGGAGAAGGAAGAGATGCAAGAGGAGATGGTGCTGCTGGTGAAGGGTGAAGAGGATGAGGGCGAGGAGAAGTATGAGGTGGTGAAACTCAAGATCCCTGTGGACAACAAGGAGGTACGTGTCCCACACTCTGGGGCCCCGTTTCCCTTGACCTGGTTCGGTTCCAGTCTCCATGCTACAGAAGCCGGGATCCTGTCCCTACTTTTCCATGAATCTCAGGTTTAGGATCTGAGGGTTGGCAAAGCATCCTTGTGCCCCCACTTCCCATGCTGACGTCAGACAGATGTCACACCTACTGTGCCAAGCTCTGTGCTGGGTGATGGAGAGTAAATGTTATCCTTGGTTCCCCATGGAGCCTGATGTGTAGCAGGATAGACTGCTAAGTAACCACGCAGCTACAATTCTGTATGATGAGTGCGGGCACCAGGGTGGAACCCCAGAGCTGGGAACTTAATGCTGACTGGGGTGGGGGATGGGCCAGGTTAGGCAAGGGTAACATCTGACTCTTGGTACAGTAGCATTTACTATTCTCCACTGTTTTTTTTTTTTTAATGATCTTTGCCATGTTTTTTAAAATTGTATTTTATTGTTTATGCTGTTACAGTTCCAATTTTCCACCCTTTGCTCCCCTCCATCCAGGTTCTCCCCTCCCCCCACCACACTCCCTCTGGCAGTCCATGTCCATGGGTCATGCATATATGTTTTATGTCTACTCTATTTCCTATGCTGTACTTACATCCCCATGACTATTCTGGAACTAGCAATTTGTACTTTAAAAAAAAATAATGTTGCCCTGGCTGGCGTAGCTCAGTGGATTGAGCGCGGGCTGCGAACCAAAGCATCACAGGTTTGATTCCCACTCAGGGCACATGCCTGGGTTGCAGGCCATGGCCTCCAGCAACCGCACATTGATGTTTCTCTCTCTTCCTCCCTCCCTTCCCTCTCTAAAAATAAATAAATAAAATCTTCAAAAAATAAAAAATAATATTTATTTTATTTATTTTTAGAGAGAGAGGGAGAGAAACACCAATATGTGGTTGCCTCTCATGTGCCCCCCTGCTGGGGACCTGACCCACAACCCAGACGTGTGGCCTGAGTGGGAATCAAACCAGTAACCCTTTGGTTTGCAGGCCAGTGCTCAATCCACTGAGCCACACCAGCCAGGGAAATATAATAATTTTTATTTTTAATATTTTTAATATTTTTATTATTTTTAATATTTTATTTATTTATTTTTAGAGGGAGGGGAGGGAGCAAAGGAGACAAGCATTGATGTGCCAGAGAAGCATCCATTGGTTGCCCTTGGCATGCTCTAGCTGGGAACCTGAACCACAGCCCAGTCATGTGCCCTGACTGGGAATCAACCTGTGACCTTTCGGTTCCCAGGCTGGCACTGAATTCACAGAGCCACACCAGCCAGGGCGCAATTTGTACTTCTTAATCTCTTCGTTTGTCACCCATCACCCTGACCTCCTTCCATCTAGCAACCATCAGAACATTTTCTGTATCTATGATTGTTTCTGTTCTGCTTGTTTATTTTGTTTTTTAGGTTCAATTGTTGATAAATGTGTATTTATTGCCATTTTATTGTTCATATTTTTTATCTTCTTAAAGAAGACCCTTTAACATTTCATACAATATTGGTTTGGTGATGATGAACTCCTTTGGCTATTTCTTATCTGGGAAGCTCTTTATCTCTTCTTTGATTCTAAATGGTAGCTTTGCTGGGTAGAGTAATCTTGGTTGTAGGTCCTTGCTTTTCACCACTTTGAATATTTCTTGCCAATGCCTTCTAGTTTGCAAAGTTTCTTTTTTTCTTTATTTAAAGATTTTATTTATTTATTTTTAGAGAGAGGGAAAGGGAGAGAAGAACAGAGGGAGAAAAATATTGATGTGTGAAACAGTGGTTGCCTCTCGCACCTGCCCCAACTGGGGAACAGGCCTGCAAGCCAGGCATGTGCCTTGACTGGAAATCGAACCAGTGACCTTTCACTTTGCAGGATAAAACTCAACCAACTGAGCCATGCTGGTCAGGGCTACCTGCAAAGTTTGTTTTGAGAAATCTGCTGACAGTCTTATGGGAGCTCCCTTGTAGCTAACTAACCACTTTTTTCTTACTGCTTTTAGGATTCTCTCTTTGTATTTAGCCTTTAGCATTTTAATTATGATGTGTCTTGGGATGGGCCTTTTTGGGTTAATCTTGTTTGGGATTGTCTGTGCTTCCTGGACTTGTGTGTCTCTTTTCTCACCAAGTTAGGAAGTTTTCCGTCATTTTTTCAAGTAGGTTTCCAATTTCTCTTTCTCTTCTCCTTCCAGCATGCCCACGATGCAAATAATTGGTATGCTCAAAGTTGTCCCAGAGGCTCCTTATAGTATCTTCATTTTTTTGGATTCTGTTTTGATTGGTAGTTTTTTGCTTCCTTATAACCCAAATCACTGATTTTATTCTTAGCTTCATCCACTCTACTTTTGATTGCCAGTAAATTGTTGTTTATTTCAATTAGTGTATCCTTCATTTCTGACTGGATCTTTTTTTATGCTGTTGAGGTTCTCACGAAGTTCATTCAGCAACCTTATAATCAGTGTTTTGAACTCTGCACCTAGTGGATTGCTTGCCTCCGTATTCTTTCATTTGGACCATGTTTTTTGCCTCCTCATTTTGGTAGCCTCTCTGTGTTTGTTTTTGTGTATTAGGAAAGCTGTTTAATAGAGTAGCCTAATGTAGTAGGTGTCGTGTAGGGTTCAGTGGTTCAGCTTCTCCTGTTATCCAAACTGGGTACTCAAGGTGCGCTCACTAGGTGGTCTGTGTACACCCTCCTCTTCTAGTTGATCCTTGATTGCTGTTGGCACATCCAGGGTCAGCCATCGCCTGTGTTCTCTCTGGGATCACACACCATAAGCTACACAATGATCTGCAGATGGATGCTACTTGTGCTGGGCTTGAAGGTGCCCATGCGAGGCCAAGCTGTGAACCAAGCCTGACTGCTGTTAGTGCTGGGATCAGGACAACTTAGCAAGATGTACAGGACTCCCAAAGCCAGATGTTGCTTGAGAGAATTTAGGAAAATCTAAAGCATGGTGCAAGAGAAGCCATTCGTGGAAAGCCAATGGACAGCTTGGGTGGGCCCAAAACTTGGGTGGGTCCAGGCTGCAGGGAATCACCAGGGTGGGGCAAACAGTGTGAACTAGGTTGATTGGTGTCAGATATAGCCCCCACCTGCAGGCTCCATGGAGATGCTGGACAATTCAGTTCTTCCCCATATGTCTGATGCCTTTCAACCTGCTGTTCCTCAGTGGAGCTCAGATGAAGTGAGCTCACGTAACTGTGTATGCAGGCCCTTTAAGAGGAACTGCCTGGGACTCCAGAAGTTTCTGTTTTCCACACCTCAATCCCTGCTGGTTTTTACAGCCAGGAGATGTGGACACTTCTTTTCCTAACTGGAACCCTGGGTTGGGTGGCCTGGTGTGGGGCTGGGACTCCTCCCTCCTGAGAAATCCCTCCTGATTTTTATCTTCTACATGTGGCTGTGGGACCAGCCCCTTCCTTGTCTCTGCTCCTCCTACCAGTATTGATGTGGTTTCTTTGATTCTGTATTTGGAAGACTTCCATTCAGGTTGATTTCTGATGGTTCTGGATGATGGTTATTTTATAGTTTAGTTGTAATTTTGTTGTGTTTGGGCAAGGAGGCGAGCCATGTTACCTACACCACCATCTTGACTAGAAGTCTCCTCCAGACACTGTTTTAAGCACCTCAATTCTATAACATAGGTAATATTTGTTCCATTACACGGGTGAGGAGACTGAGGCCCAGGAAACCACAGTTGGGTGACTGGTCCCAGCTCTCAAAGTTAGTAAAGAGATGGCTTATGTGAGACCAGGGAGAGTGAGGGGTGAAGTGAGTGACTACTTTAGACTGAAGAAATGGGCCTTTCAGTGGCTCAGCAAGAGTGAGGAGCACTGGGAGAATGAGTGCAGGTGGTTCAGCCATGGTGTAGCGTGGATGAGGTTAGGGTGTTTGTCAGGTTAAGTAGGGTATTTGGATTTTAGCCAAAGGATGATGGAGTTTTTTAAAAAATTAAAAGAGAGGAGTTTTAATATCAGAATATTAGTTAGATTTCCCCATTCGAGACCTGAACTCCCACCAATTCCAAGAACCCTACAGAACTCCCAGCCTCAGCCAGCCCAACACTATTTAGAGCTGGAGAGCTCTGGCTGGACCAGGTTTCTGGGTGCAGGCTCCAATTTCTTTCTGCACAGCAGCCAGTTTCTAGGGAACAAAAGTTCTGCTGCCCCCTAGTGGGCGTGGGTGTTTATTCATCTAAAAATGAATAGGTAAAATCTTTAAAAATAAAGGACTGACACTCCAGAACTTAAGGTGGACTTCCAGCTCCATCACTTACCAGTTTGTATGACTTGGACAAGTCTCTTAACCTCTACGTGCCTCACTTTCTTCATCTGTAAAAGCAAAACCGTAACAGCTCATACTTTTTCAGTTTGTGAGGATTAAATGAGTTAATACATGTAAAGAGTTAGAACTGGGTATGACACATGATAAACACTGTAAATATTTCCTGCTATTATCCATTCTTCTCACTAAAGTTTAGGACTTGGGTCTAGGTCATCCTTCTGGAAATTTTTCAACTCTTTTTTTTTTTTTAGATTTTCTTTATTTATTTAGAGAGGGGGGAAGGGAGGGAGAAAGAGAGGCAGACAAACATCATTGTGTGGTTGCCTCTCACATGGCCCCCACTGGGGACCTGGCCTGCAACCCAGGCATGTACCCTGACTGGGATTCGAACCAGTGACCCTTTGGTTTGCAGTCTGTGCTCAGTCCACTGATCTACACCAGCCAGGGCACAACTAGTTTTTATCAAAGGCCTTTTTAGGCTCAATCCTGGGGCTGGGGGTGAAAGGGGAAATCAATAGAGAGGCCTAGACAGCATCGAGGGCAGCCAACTCAAGGCAGTGGGGCAGGCTTTACAGAGAAAGCTTAGTGCGGATTTGGCAAACGGAGGCAGAGGAAGGGCATCCCAGGAGGAGGAAAAAACAAAAGCAAAGGCTCAGAGGAGATGGGGCCCCGAGAGTAAAAGGCATTGAGAGCCAGCATAGGAAC